ATTTAATCGGGTCATCTCGGGCCAAGCCTAAGTAAAAAATTCCATGAAAAGCTTGGGGCAAAACCCAGTCGGGTTCGGGTGGCCCGTTGGACACCCGGCCCAATTACCATCCTTAATTTCAGGCAACTTGATTAGTGAGCCCTAGCAAGCATCAGTCATCTCCATTGAAGACACCAAGTAGGCCAAGTAGCTTTTATGTTTTGCTCTTTGAACTGAATGATTATCTATATCTTCAAAAGTGCTATCAAGTCAGAAATGAAGACATAATGATAATAGTATCCACTGAAGTCTGAATTGCACATGCTTGAGTTGAATTCAGCAAATCCCAAATCAGTCAGATGATGTGAACACACATCCCTTTCCCATCAAAAAAAAACAACCAAAGAGTTCCCTCAGATATTTCTACCTCAAACAGAGAATCAAGATGACATACAGGGATGTGTTAGCAATTCATTTGTTGTTGGAAAAATGGGTTCTCAATGAACTAGAGTTCACAAAGGAACTGACTCGGATAACTTTGTATTACTGACTAAAACAAGGGGAGAACTGGTGCTTGTATCCTCAACTTCTCATACCCTCAGTCAGTATGCTTTGGAATTTTATGTACTGATTACTGAAAGTTGTAATATTCATGATCATAGCATCAAAAATCACACATGACCACCATCAAAGTGAGTAACACTTTTTGATAGTGAAGAGATGATAGTTTAAGGGCCTGTACCATATGAGTGAATTTTGAAAAATGGTCTTTTTTTCTGTCTCCAACACAAAACTTCAAAACATTTGGAAATACAGTTGCGGATGGCATAGACCGACCATGCCCTGCCCGCAAAATACAAAATGGACATGTGGGGCCTATGCCTCAACATTAATTTTTATTACAATTTTGAACTCCTACAGATGTGTAGAGTTCAAAATTGTAACCGCTAAGGTTCTACTCAAGCGGTTCTTTTTTTTATTTGTATGACAAGCATGTATTTGGACATGCCTGCCAAAAGCCATACTTAAACCCATAACTATGGGTTTAAGTTAGGCTTATTCATGGCCTTATGCCTCTTAAAGCACCTGTAGAACCTTTTTGAGTGGTTATGCAATACTCTGAGGTAATATTTCAAGTTATGTAGGCTCAAAAGGGCTCAAAAACCCTGTAAATACAAAAAAAATCTATTTTTTTCGCTCAAAATTCCGGACACCCTCAAAATCCAGGGTTGGTTTTTGCCATCCGCAACTGTACCTGGTGTTGAAATTCTTCATATTTGAGCTTTTAAATGGCCTTTGGTTATGGTCACTTTTTATTATATGAGAATTTGAGGAATATAAATTATGAAAAATTATGAAAAATTGAATTTTCATGCCATATGGTACAGGCCCTAAATCTTAATATGGATTATTCCAAAAAAAACCAGTCCTTAAATCCATGCCAAAGCTTTGGCAGTAAAAATGCATTATAGGTTCAGAATTGCAAAATTTCAAACCACAAATCAAATATGTAAACATGAAGCTGTGTCAGATGAGGATAAAAAAGGGGCTTGGTTAATTGACTCCCAAAAAATTGAGTCAACTCCCAAACCCCAGGGATTTCCTGAGGATGTCCTGAGATGGTCCTCAGGATTTCTTCCCCCTGGATTTTGGGAGTTAATCCTCCAATCCTCCAAAGAACTCAGCGGTTTTGGTTGTGCCGGTCCAAAATAAAAAAAGAAAAAAACCCATTGGTTTGGGAGTCAATCCTCCAAAGCCAAACAGGGTTTGGGGGGTTGGTGAAATAAAAAGAGCCCCTGAAAGCCAGGAGGATTACTCCCGGCCATGGATAGTACACTCTCAATGGTGTAGAACTGCTCAGCAAGCAGCAAAGAGATTGAAGGAGTTAAAGTAGCTAATAAAAGTTGGGACTTGGTTAATTGACTCCCAAGAATTGGGGAGTCAACTACCAAACCTGAATTACCCGGAAAAATCCCCTGTTTTCCCCTGAGATTGGGAGTCAATCTCCCAAACCCATCAGCAAGTTTGGAATTCAGAACTCCTCATATTTTGAATAAGAAAAATACCAAACCCCAAAGGAGTTGGGGCTCAATGCCCCAAAACCCATTGGGTTTTGGGGGTTGGCGAACCAAAAAGGGCCCCAATAGCTGGGGGGGCTCCTCCCGGCCACTGATGGCACACCATCAACAGCTGAGAGAAACACTCTTGGCCATTGTGTACACACTCAATGGCTATCGAGGATGTACACTCTTGATTCAGGATGTAAACGGGTCAGGTTTGGGCCCAAAAACAGTGCCCGAACCCAACCCGACACCTATGTTGGGTTGGGTCGGGTCGGGTCAAACTTGAATATATGCTGTCCAGACCCGAACCCGTCTTGGGACTTTTCGGGTTCGGGTCGGCAGTTTGCATGTCGGGTTCGGGCCGACCCGAGTGTTTTAGCCTTTGTAGAGCAACTATGACAAAAAATTACCTGCCTGACTATCAAAACACCTGCCCGAACCCAACCCGCTAAGCTTCCGGGTCGGGTTCGGGTCATGTGATTTTCCCACTAAGTCTGCCCAAACCCAACCCATGACCCGTCGGGTCTCGGGTTGGCTTCGGGTCGACCTGACCCATTTACCCCCGACTCTTGATGGCCAAGAGAAGCACTCTTGGCCTTTGAGAGTGTAAACTTTCAGGGTTTAATAGGTTGAAACCCCCTCATAAGAAGAAATATAGTAATGAAAGAATAAAAAAGAATGAAATAAAGTGCATGCGCAAATAAAATAAATGAGTAAGAGGATTGATGAGTATGCTGCGGCACAGCAAGCCGCAAAGCATCACAACACGGCTCATTCCCCAACTGTTGGATTAAATGTCAGCCTTAGAGATCCTCAAGAGTATCCAAAAGACTGCTCAATAATATATTACTTGTAATAATAATAAGAAAACCTAGAATATTATTGTATAAATGAACTTTTCATAATATTTTAGAGGGGGTTGCTCACTGGAACCATCCCCAAATTCCTACTCCTTCTAGGACTTTGTCATAACTCAAGAGCCTCAGAGGTTAGTAGGAATAAAAGTATAAAACACCTTAAAAAGATTATAAAATAAAGATAAAAACAAATATTAAATTTATAGTTACAACCATAAATTGAAACTATAACCCAAAGTGTAGAAATTACCACCTTTGTTAAGTGTGTGGTAATTTCCATCAGTATTATTCTATTATAAGTAGACACATGATGTAATTGGCTATAACAATGCATCATGATGTCATGGGGACATAGATAATACTGTATTTAATCTACTACAATATTCTCATTACATCATGAGAGAACTACTATTGTAGTACATTAAATAAACATTCTAGAATATTCTAAGAATGCCCCCAAGGGGGACTCTAGAATATAAAAGGAGGCCATTCCTGGCCTAAGATTGGTTCCTCAGCATATTCACCCACAGCATACTTAGTAAGTACAGTGAATATTCTCCTCCTACTTTTAGAGTAGTTATCCCAATCCCAATCTTCCTTTTACTACTGGAATTATTAGTGTGTAACTTTGAAATTCCCCTTTCATCCCTCACTAAAATTCCTTATAAAGAAGTTGCTGCAAGACTACCACCTCTGACAAGTAGCCAATCAGCTCAAGTGCTTGCCAGCTGCTTCTTAGCAATTATTATTGCTTTAAAATCCAAACTATAACAATTTATTAATTGTTATAATCTCCTGTTATTTGGTTCATTAGAAACAAATAAGCTTAAAGGAGTGTGTACTTAACCTTTGTGGATTTTGGACCACATATAAAGGGTGAAAAAGAGTAATCTTTTTCTTTGATAGTCCTTCAGCACAGTGATAGCACCTGGTTTTTATATTATTTAAACCAGTGTAGCATACACAGAGCTGACAAGTGGGGGCCTCATCAGCCTGATCCCTTGATCATAGAGCTAGAATTTTCTATAAGAAAATTCCAGCAACTTCCAAACCTTCTCTAGAAAAATTCCTGTGGTTTATTCACCACTATCCTCTCTCACACTCATCACTCTCCTGTGAATTCTTGTCCTAGACAAGTAAAATTGTGTACAGGAATTCTCCCAGTGTTGAATTTTTCTAAGAGCTTGATATAAAAAAAAAAAAAAAAAAAAAAAAAAATACTAGACACTTTGAGAAATTCTGTCATCTGACAAGAATTCTCTACCCTGAGACTAAAAATCTTCAAATTTCTCGTTAACTGAGAATTAGAAAGAAGAATTCAAATGTTTTCTCTTCTCAGTCACGTTTCTATCTCGACTGCTTCAGATTTTTTCTTTTCTCAGTCTCGTTTCTGCCTTGACTGCTTCAGATTCTCTTTTTCCCTCCTCATTCTCGACCGTATTGAGGACTTCGCATAGAAAAAATAGTAGCGAAGAAGTATCACGCAAGAAGTCGTTCTAGAAAAGACTTCTAACTTGAATAGAAATTTCAAATAGATACGACCTACATCTATCCAAGGCTTTCATCGTTCAAGTAGTGAACTAGTACGAAGCCGCCGATAGGGAAAAACTAAAGCAAGAAGTCTCATTGGCGAGAGACTTGTAGAGCTTCCTTACCTCCATCCCTTCTCAAAAATTCTCTCAGATAGAGCATAAAAGCAGCCTAGTTGGAACAATTTCGCTAACCAGGACCGCTGATGTAATTATTCCTGTTGTTCTACACCAAAAATATAAAAATTTATTATTATGTCTCTAAATATTGAAGATAGGGTAAAAATAACATCAAAAATGGATTCCTGAGGTAAAATCGCATAGCTAGTACTAAAAACGAAAAATTATCGCTGACAACGGATTACAGTGTCTGAAGTCGTAGGTAGAACTCAGTCAGTCCCGCCAAACGCGTTGGCCAGCCCCTTACAGGAGAAGACCAACAGAAGAGACCCTCCGGCGAGCTTACCATCCCGTGTGATTGAGAAGGAGTTTGACGCGATAGCCGCGGCGAAAGAATTATTTAAGAGTAAATATTCTTAATTCTACTATTTACAAACAAAACAAAGATATTGATGCCATGGTCTCATCCACTAGATCAGGAGTCGACCACGGCACCAACCCTCCCCCAACACGCAGAGGCCAAGGAAGGGGAAGAGGAAGACCTCGAGGTGGCGGTAAACGCGGCCCCAAAAGGTTAGTGACTTCATCCCGACCCGTTTCATCGGAATCGGAACTGACATCGTTGAACTCTAGCGTTCCAAGGAGAGAAACCCCTGTCAGCGGGCCAACTCAACGCGATAGACTTGCTTCAGAAGTCGAAGCAAATCTACTTCAACGCGAAGAGCGCGGAGGAGTACGAGCTCCTCCCCCACTTGGTCAAACAGACCATCGAGACGTTCCGCCTCGTCAGGTCATTCCTGACCTGGCAAGAGACCTTAGCAAAACTCGACGGGTGGAACCCGTACAAGGAGAAGGCGGCAGCCGCACTCTGGGAGAAGTTCAAGAAGAACCCAGCGGCGGCAAACTCGAACAGCGCAGCGGCGTCGACCAGCGCGATACCAGCGAACAGCGACAGGTTCAGGGGGTACAAGATCCCCAAGAACGCGAAAGGCAAAGCGGCGACGAACGTCAAGAACAACAAATTCATGACGAGCGTGAATAAACGCGAAATGGAAAAAAGAAAATGGAAGAAGGTCACTCACCTGGCACAAGCCATGATCGAATTCCGCGACGCAGCCAACCTTTGAATCCCCCTCCTGTAGCTAGTACATCTAGAGCCCCTGTTCCCCCAACACCCTCTGTTGTAACTAGTTCTAAGATTTCTGAAATCGAAAACACAGAATTTTTTGATCAGATCCTCATCAAAAATATTATTCATATTGATCAAAAGATCAATGAAATTAAGCAAACTTCTCAAAACAATCAATATGATGTGAGACAATTAGCCCTTTCAGTGGCTGAGTACAACAAAGAATTCCAAGCAACTATTAATGAAGCAAGGAAAATACCAGGTATTGTACAAGCATTGAAGGAATTAAAAACCATCATATTGAACCACCACAAAGACATGGACAACAATAATTCTAAGAACACAACCAAAGAAAATACTGTGAAAACAGGAAATTCAGATCTTTTGTTGTTAGAATTACAGAAATTGAGGAATGAACTTCATTCCAAAATAAATAAACATGATGTGTCCATCACTAAAGATATTACAGATAAATTAGAAAAACTCCACCTAGATAGTGACACAGCTTCTGAAGCACAGATGGAGAATATTATGTCTATTTTAGAAAAAACAGAACATGTGGAGAAGAATATCAATAATAGACTTAGTCACATGGAAGATAATATTAATACCAGAATAGATAATATGGAAACTAAACTGACCTCAACATTGAATGAGAAACTAGAGGAAATAATGATGAAGGTAAACAACTTACCAATTCATACCCAAAATACTGGCAATACCATTCAGAACTCTAATAATAGCTCCCACAGTCAAGAAATGAAGAGATCAATTAATACCCCATATCTTCCACATAAGGATCTCCTGAGTTCCAAGATACCTGAGGAAGGTAACTACAGACAAACCCCTCCCCATATGGTACAGAGCCAACAGAACTCAGAAATTAGGGAAACTAACAAGGATGGGAGCAGAATTGAGATACCTAGAATTAAAGACTGGCCTAAATTCACAGGTGAGGGAGAATATGACCATTTAGAGTTCATGAGGACTATAGACTTACTCAAAGAAGACTTTGAGTTATCAGACCTTTCTATTTCAGGAAGGCTGAGTAGCCTATTTAAAGGAGCTGCTAGAAGATGGTTCAATGACATTAGATCCAGCCATGGTAAACAACCTTGGAGCTGGTGGAAGGAACAAATCCTCAGCAAATGGGGTAGCCCAGCTTGGAGGTATACTGTTGAAAATAAATTTGATGAGAGCATTTTTGACATAGAAAAAGACTCACCTATTAAATGGGTCTTAGCCCAAAAAGATAGACTCCAAGCACTTTGGCCATTTATGTCACTACAAGATATGCACCTGAGAATTCTTAAAAAATGCGGAGGAGACTTAGAGCATGCTATCAAAAGTAGAGCACCCAGGGATGCCTCTACAGAAGATATTATTAATATTCTAGAAGATATCACAACCAGGACAAAGATTGGAAGAAAATATAAACCAATCAGAAATAACTACCAAGATAAGACAGAATCTAAGAGTTATGTGAACAAAGATTCAAACAAGGACAATAATCCTAATAAAGATAAGAAATGTTATACCTGTCAAAAGATAGGCCATACATCCAATAATTGCCCACAGAAGAAGAAGTATGTGAACCAGGTAGATATAGAGGTAGAAAAAACAAATCAAACAGAAGAAGAAGAAGAAATTGAACAAGAATTTGAGGATGGATCTTCTATATCAAGTATGTCCAATAACATGATTCAAGCAGACCTAGATATTGCCGATGTAGTATTTGAGAGCCACTTGCCAATGGAATGGCAATCAGGGCAACAGATAACTAATGTATCAGAGGCTAGAATTATGAGAACAAAACCATCCATGGGTAAAGGATATACAGCAGGAAAATCAAACCTGACTACAGTGATATTTCAAGAACAAGAAGCAGAGCTGTTATTGGACAGTGGAGCATTTTGTTCTGTAGTATCTAAGAAATATATTCAGAAATTGTGTCCAGACTTTGAAGACAAATTATTGCCTATCACTAGCCTGAAACTGAATAGTGCTAGTAACACTATGAAACCTCTAGGAATATTCCCCTGCCCTTTGATTATACCGCACCCAGCAGGTTCAGTAAGGATACAGGTAGAATTCATAGTAGTAGAGGATGGAGTCAGTAACTACTTTATTTTGGGAAATGACTACCTCACTATTTATGGATTTGACATCAACAATAGCAGGGAAAGGTATTTTACCATAGGTAATGATAATAAGAGAAAGAAATTTTCTTTTAAAAATAAAGGAAATATGAGTATACAGAAAATTTCAACAGACCCAGAACTAGAGGAGTTTATCAATACACAACTAGTGGAGAGTAAAATTTCTACAGACTTATCTATAGAACAGAAAAATCAATTACAGGAACTATTGTTCAAACATAAAAATGCCTTTGCTTCTGACAAGGAACCTTTAGGAGCAGTGATAGGACATGAAGTAGATATCACACTCAATATTGATAGACCTTACCCGCCCCTATTGAGAAGACCAGCTTACCCGGCCAGTCCAAGGGCTAGAGAAGAGCTGGAAAAGCATATTGAAGAACTTATTAGGCTTAATGTCCTCAGGAAAATTGGCCATAATGAAGAAGTGGAAATTACAACTCCTGTGATAATCACTTGGCATAATAATAAATCCAGGATGGTAGGAGACTTTAGAGCCCTAAATACATATACTGTACCAGACAGATATCCTATACCTAGAATATCAGAGGCACTGACAAATATAGCTCAGGCCAAATATATTACTAGTATGGATGCACTTAAAGGATTCCACCAGAATAAGGTTACAGATAGAGCTAGGAAATATCTGAGAATAATCACTCATAAAGGGGTATATGAATACCTTAGAATGCCCTTTGGAATAAAGAATGCCCCTTCACATTTCCAAAGAATGATGAATTCAATATTCTATGCTGAAATAGCAGCAGGATGGCTTATAGTCTACATTGATGACATTATCATATGCTCCACAACATGGGAAGATCACATCAGAAGGATTAATACTGTCCTAGAGAAAGTCATTGAAGTAAATCTGAAAATCTCTTTGAAAAAATGTGCATTTGGATTTAGTGAGCTAACAGCCCTAGGACATGTAGTATCTGGACTATCACTATGTGTGGATCAGAAGAAAGTAGCAGCTGTGATGCAGAAACCAGTCCCAGCTAATAAAAAGGAACTACAAAGTTTCTTAGGTTTTGCCAACTATTATAGACAACATTTGGAAGGTTATGCTAACATGGCCAGATGTCTATATGAAATATGCTCTGATGATGCTTGCTTTGAGATGACACATGAGAGAATCATGGCATACAATGCTATCAAAGAACACTTGACTAAAGCACCCCTACTACTGATGCCTGACTTCAAGAAACCATTTAAACTGTATGTTGATGCTTCCATGGAAGGCCTAGGAGCAGCATTACATCAACTACAGATAATTGAAGATATGCCAGTAGAAGGCCCTATATGCTTTATATCAAGACAACTAAAGAAATTAGAAGCCACATACGGAGCAAGTCAATTGGAATGCTTATGCCTTGTCTGGGCCTTAGAAAAATTGCATTACTATTTAGATGGCAGTGTTTTTGAAGTAATTACTGACTGTACAGCATTGAAATCTTTATTAAATATGAAGACTCCCAATAGACATATGCTGAGATGGCAGATTGCTATACAAGAGTATAGAGGTAATATGACAATAGTCCATAAAGCAGGGAACCTACATAAAAATGCTGACGGCCTTAGTAGATGGTCATTACCAAATACTCCTGACAACCCAGCTTGGGTTCCAGAAGAAACAGAACAGTTGCCCATAATGGGAATTAGTATAACTGAACTAGAAGATGAGTTCTTTGAGAATGTCAGACAGAGCTATAAACAGGATAAGAATTGTACACTGCTGGCTAAAATTCTGAAGCTAGACCATAAAGATGAGGAATTAATTGAATCCTTAGAACCTAAGTGGAAGAAATCTTACTTAGAAGGAAGATTTCATCTTTTTGATGGTATTATTTACCACAGGAGCAAACACACATGTGTACTGACTGTGACAGATAGGACAATCATCAATACTATTCTGTATGAATGCCATGATGCCAATTCAGCAGGCCACCTTTCTGAAGATAGGACAAAGGAAAGGATTAAACATACAGCCTGGTGGCCTGGCTGGAAGAATGATGTTCAACTATACTGTAGCACATGTGAGAGATGTCAAAGAGCTAACAAAGCCACAGGCAAAAGGTTTGGTCACATGATGCATATAGAAGAACCTACTATGCCATGGGAAATTGTCAATATGGACTGGGTAACAGGTCTTCCACCAGGAGGGAAGAAGAACTATAATGCTTGCCTGGTGATAGTGGATAGATTCAGTAAGACCCCCATATTCCTACCATGCCATAAAGATGATACAGCCATGGACACTGCCTTGATGATATGGAATAGAGTAATCTCTTGGACAGGATTATTCAAAACTATTATTAGTGACAGAGACCCTAAATTCACGTCAGAATTGTGGACTAACCTGTACAACTTATTTGGCACAAAAGTGTCTTTTTCCACAGCCTACCATCCACAGACAGATGGCCTAGCAGAAAGGATGATACAGACGCTAGAAGATATGTTGAGAAGGTTCTGTGCTTATGGTTTAGAATTCAAAGACTCAGATGGATTCACCCATGATTGGGTCACCTTATTACCAGCACTAGAATTAGCATATAGGACGTCAGTACACTCATCCACAGGAAAAACACCTGCCATATTAGAGAAAGGTTGGAACCCAAGACTACCCCAAGACAGCTTGAGGAAGGACCTTATAGACATTCATCCAACAGCTGCCAGCTTTAAAACTATGCTTGACAAAGCAAGGAGACATGCTCAGAAGTGCATGGAAGATGCATTTCAATATAATAAGGATAAATGGGACAGGAAGCATAAGATCCCATCATTTAAAATTGGAGATTTAGTATTGATATCAACTGTGAACTTCACCAATATTAAA